TAATTAAAAGACCATGGTTATACTTTAAAATTGTTATTAGATTTTTCTACAGCCTTTTCTTCAAATTAATATAATTGTTGTTAATTTAAACTAAAGATGCCACCTTTATATAAAATTATTAAAACATTGTTCTTTAAATCGAATGGTAATTAGAAAAAAAGTACAGTACTTTGGGTATAGCTGGGATACCCAGCATAGTAAAGAGGAATTATCTGTAATAACATATGTTTATAGAACTGGAAAATAGTTAAATATATGAATATACTTTTCTGATGTTGCAATCTATTTCTGTTGTCTACACATATCTATCATTTTTAATTGTTATATTTTCATTTATCATCACAGTGGTAAATTGTTTCATTATTATTACAGTAAATAATTAAACCTGAAGAGATAACAAATACCTGAACTATGCTCCTATCCCAGCATTCTTGATCAAAAGGATCAATACACTATGATGCAGTATCTTTGGAAAGCATCTCGAGCAACACTGGAAACCTACAGCAGGTTTAGTAAGCACGCAGCTGAAAAATACGTACCTATTTATAGAGCTGAGTATCATGTTGTACAGACAATCAGATTGCCCCACACTGACTAGATTAGTATTGGTTTAAGTTCTGTCAGGAAGCCCCTTGCTGTAATGCAACACTACTGAGGGATACCATCTCGTCAGGAGTCAAATTTTCCATTTATGCCGTAACACATCAATCAACTGTCATGTCCTTTTGTGGTTGTGAATCCAAGTGTTCCATTTTCTAGAATGATGTAATGCTGCACAGGAATCTCCAAGACAGGCACACCAGATTGAAAACTCACTCAATTCATTTGAGCACTTGAAAAGAATAAGATAATACCTTCAATACTAATGTGTTAGTAAATGAAAAAATATGTCAGCTTTGGTTTTTAAAAGTTCAGAACATGGGCAATTAATGAATTTTGTAAAGTGGTTCTAAGGTAATCCAAGAGGAATGACAATGAAAACCAAAAGTATGTCATTCATGAGTAATAAAACACACACGATTATAATGAGCTCTTTAAAATATAGGGTACTTTGCTATACTATGCTGTATATCATCATGAATTTCTCTTTGCATGTGCAATACACTCTTATTATTGATGTTGTCTAGGTTATGAGTATAACCAATTTACCTAATGGTTCCACTAGTGTTTTCTACTTTTATTACAATTTTGATAATAAACATAGTTCAGATTGGGTGACAAGAAACCAAACTTGTCACATCAATCAGAATTTTCAAAAACTTGATCAAAAACCCATGTTGCAGTAGCTGCTTCATTACCTTTACCACATTGTAAGGTTTATCTCATCATTTATATAATTTGCTCCACTCTAAAAGAGGACTACAAAACACATATCTACCGCATTTGTAATAGTCATGAGTGTAAAAGTAAACAGCTAATACAATATGTCAGTAAAAGCCTATAGTACCTTCCATTTTTCCTTTATAAAGAGGAAAAATATTGAGTGAGAACAATTGAATAATGTCAGCAGTATATGCCATTGATTTAATTGCATTCCATATGTTGACATCTCTGAAAATTGAATAAGCACACAAATCTGCGGCTGATTTTTACAAACATTGTTCTCTTTAGCACATTAGGTGAAATTGCATATTTCCTTTTTTAAAAGATATTTGCACATACAGTAGAACATGGAATGCTCATAACATTGCATGTTCAGCAAGGAACTATATATTGTATTTTTGCTGTATTGTCAGTTATAATTTTTTGGTGTAGACATCTATAATTGTTCATATGCTTGCATAATTCAAGTTCAAGTTCATTCAAGTAAATATATCTGTTCACTTGTCTCAGAGCAAGCCATCATTTTAATGTTTCTGTTGTAGCCTTTACTTTCATTCTGTTTCCATGGGGTTTGTTGTGCTTTTTGTTATTGGTTTCATGATGCCAGAAGGCTGTACATTTGACAGACAGGAATGCTCAGAAACCAGCTTCTCTTATGAACGCTTGTGTCTTGCTGACTCATATCTCTTCAGAAATTCAGAAGGAGGTCAAATTGTAATCTTGTACTTCTCCCCTCTGACATACAAATTCTCTGTGCCCACGACTCTGCATCAATCTTTTCTAGCACTTGGCATTGGTCTTGTCTTGTCGAAGACAGACGGTCCTTGCACTCAGTGTTGCCAGGCTTGTCTTTGCACATTCGTGTTCTCCAAGCCAGGGCTTGATTTGCTTTCTCGCCACTTCTGGTATAAGCAGCTCTACAAGATCAAATTCTCTACCTGAAACAACTGGTTCTCTTCACATGCCAGGCTGTCTGCTCTTTTCTTTCAGTACACCTTATGTTGTCAACCCTCCCTGGAACTCAGGAGCTACTAATGTATGTCTTCTCCATAGGTCCCTTCTGCTGGATCACAAGAATGTTCATGTGAATCTCAAGTTCTTGCATTTCCACATGTTGACAAATGCATCTTCTCTTCCATTGTGAACAGAATGGGGACTGTTTTTTTGTCCATTGACCTCAAGGACATACACTTCTTCATCTCCACTGCATAGAGCCACTATTTTCCACTGCACCAAGGACAGTTGTGGCTTTCAGTATTGTGTCCTGCTAATTCAGGCACTCTTTAATGCCCAGATGTCTTGCAAAATGCATGCAGCAATCTGGCCCCTCTCTTTTTGAAGAGCCTGTGAATCGTCAACTCTATGTCCAGTCTTAAATGATAGCACATCCTCCATCAGTTGATGGAATTTGGCTGTACTGTATGTTCGAAGATCTCCGTTTAGAAATAACACAGACTTCACCCTACACACCTGTCTGCTTCTAGTTTGTGAATGTTATGATATGTGCTAAAGTTTCTGTTCACAAAAGCTGGGGCATGCTGCATTCCCAAGAGGTAATGACTTCATTACAACTTAAAGGAAACAAGACTATCCTAACCCCAGAACTTTCGAAAGAAATGTAGTCATTACTCTTCTATGTTGCTGACATTAGGTTATTTGTTGTCAAAAAGTCAAGATGAGTTTTTCCTGTTAGTCTAACAGGGAGAGGAAGGAGTATGATGACATCCAAATGGACAACTCTGTCATACAGCCAGATGTTCAGGATGGAGAGCAGTTATGAAATAGTTTTAAACTAGGGTTAGGAAATGTAATTTAAGACTGTTAAGTCATTTCTAGATCCTAAGTAGGAAAATATCTTTTCACTGTAATATTGTTTATTACAGTTTATATTTTATTTAAACCTGGTGAAAGTTTATCAAAGCTGTACAATGTTGCCAAAGTGTTGAACAGTAGTGTTATTACAGGTTAATATGGATGTTATTTTATAGTATTTATTTAAAATAATTAGTGTTGGATACTCATTGTTCAAATGCCATAGCAGCTGGCAAATGTTGAAAAAAGTGTTTCTTAGTATCTGTTAAAGGTAATGATAAAAATTAGATGCTGTCAAGTACTAGCATAAGCATGATATGATGGTAAATATAAGAGAACTGAAGAGATCATTGGACATTTTTTTCAGATGTAACATGACACCTATCATAGGGGTAAACTTAGTAAGAGTATCATTAATGTAAATAAGGAAACCACGCTCTGTGTACGAGACACGGAACATCTACAAATGACTGGTGAAATTAAAGGAAGTATTCACAGAGGTGTAGCTTTTCTAAAGATCAGAGGTTAGTCGCAGTCAAGCTCTACAGTCAAGTACAATACTGGAAAGTGGTTTCAGTTTTCTGAGGTGTATTCCTTCAGACACAATCACTAAGAAAGCTGATACAATATGAACCAACAAGGCAAATATAAAGGCATTCTCTCCAGTATTTACATTCCACCCTACAAATTGCCATTTCACTTAATCTGTAATCTCATAATGAATCATACAATTAAATACAATTTTATTGTTCAAAGAATCGTGAAACTGGTGAAATAAAATGGCAGATTATTGTTATACAGAAGTGGAAATTCAACTAAAAGACAGAATGGAAATCTAGAGGGCATTTGCAAATGATCTACTTATTTTCAATGCTCAAGTTATTCACGTGAGGTGGCCTGTAAATTCCCATCACAAATTTCCATTTGTACAGATAATGATCAATATGCATTTTACTATAAAAGCAAGAAAATTCTATAAAAGTAAAATATAGAATTGGGGCTTCTTCTGTTTATTTTAAGCTTTGTTTTTTGACTGGTTAAGTGCATTACAGTATTTTATGTTCAGAAAATGTAAAATGCCATAGTAAACTGGCTACTCTCGGCATGAGATACAAAATGCTGCACTTCTGGAAACAGGTCCCAAAACAAGCCTCTGCAGCTTGCAATTGCTAAAAATGTATTTATATTAGAAATGTCAAAATTAAACCTTTTGAGAACATTCAAGTCTAAAGCTCAGCCAGATGTCAATCAGTTCCCTACACTTGTAAAGTACAATCGTGTGTGCTGCTATGATGCTAGCACACACGACTGAGAGAGTGGCAATAAAATCCACATCATACTAAAAATACATACACTGACTTAGTGAAATTTGTACTTTTTACCCACAAAAAAGATATATTAGCCTTTTGGTTTACCAGCAAACCCTCACTCAAAAAAATGTAAATTTCCCACTGAGACTACAAGTCTCAATATTGCAATATTGGTCATAAGAGTGATGCACACAAGACATTAAGTTAATGGCTTTTAACTTATATACTGTACAACAAATATACCCGTAGGTACATTATGAATACTCATTTTAACAGCACAGTGGTTTCTCCTGCATCTGTTGGTGTGAGGAAAGTGGTAATGTGACTGCAAAAGTGTACCTCCATGAAATGGGCAGGGCAGACAGTGCCACTACTGAATAAATAAAGAGGTATTTCATCTATAAATACCTATAATCCGAAATAAAGTATGAATCCAAAAATCTGCTAAATATCTGGATGCATGTACCACATTGAATTGAAAGCACATTAGAAAGAGAAAAAGGAAGGAGACATGGCACTGGGAAGAAGTGCTGGGAGCTGGAAGTGTTAGCTGACCTGTGCGCTTGGGATGGGGGTGCGGTGGCAGATCCAGGTCTCTGCTGCCCGCTGGAGTAAAGATTCGGCCCAGCTGGCAGTCCATGTGAAACAGGGACAGCCAGCTCTGGCAGGGGAAACTCCAGCTCTTGTCTCTCACCGTGTTGGTGACAGACACCTCCTCCACAAACCAAGCCTGATCCTTCTGCAGGCCATCGTGCTTAAAGAAAGAGGAGAATTTGTGTTCATGATACTATTTTGGCCCATAAAACAAATACTGGACCACTCATACATTTTTAGTAACCTATTGTATGGATACAGGTATGAGGCAACAGTACCCATTTATTAGTCTTTCACACTTATTCTGTTGTAGTATTTTCACACAGCAGTCCCCTGTTTTAATTACTTCAACATTCAGAACTTCAGTAGAAATCAGTTCTAGAAGAGGGTGGGAGAAGGTTTTTTAATTTTGAAATTGGAAATATGTTTTGTGTTTATGTTTTTATAGTATCGTTAAGATTTGTTCTCATAAAATAATTAAAAAATGATAAATGATTTTAATTAAGCAGACAGGCATAAAAGGGTTTCCAGTAGAGAAAACTGGAATAAACATTGGTTGGAATGAATGCACTACAAATTGTACTGGGAAACAGTGCATAGACAGCTGTTCATCCATTCCGTTTCTATGAATACAAACTAATAAAACCAGCTAATTCAGTGAATGTGCAATATTCCCTTGACACATTTTAATGCACAGGAAATGTGATCGTTTCTATAGTAACACATCAATAGTGAGCACGGACTATTACATAAATTGACAACAGATTCATAAACATATTTGCTTGCTTCTAACCAACAAGTAAAAACTGCAGCATTTGAATAAAACAGGGAGTAAAATAAACAGCACTGGAGTTTTTCTCTCGAGTTGCTAAAATGATAGCAGCTTAAAAGCTGTGACCTCTTACTGTATATAGATGCATGAATGAGAAATAATTTATTCAATTACCTCCAGAAAAATGCTCTTGATATCTCCAATGTCTGGCCCAAACAAATTGAACGTGTGGCAGGATCCCGCAGCGAACTGGAAAGAGCTGGTGTGACTAGATTTGTTGGAGCCAGAGTGTTTAAAAAGTCTCTTCTTATTGAATTTACCTTTGGAGCCTTTCATACGTATATATACCTAAAAGGTAAAGCAAAAGACATTTTGAAGCATTTGATTTTTTACACATATTTTTTGTAAGTAATTTATTCATAACTCTTTTTGTGTCAAAAATCCTAACAAAAAATCGTAAAAAACACAAGGAGCAGATTTCATTTCATAGGAAACAAAGGTGAGAGCTGTTTATCGCAGCTTCGGCCTCTTGGCATTACCCGGGCATCTGTGCCGGCATGTTTCATGTCCGCAGTCTTCACTGTTACTTTGTAAAGCACTTTGCCCTCCTTGGTGGACCCTGAACTGGAGATGCCATGCCGATAGTTTGGTACAGGTGCGCTCTTTGGGCGCCTGGCCTGCAAGACAAACACCAGCTGAAGTCTGAATGCCCATGTTAGTTTATGAAGTGATCACCAAAACTGCTTTCTACCAAAACTATTTATTTAAATTCTCCTGTCTGCACTTTTCAAGAGATCACAGATTGTCATTAGAGCTCTGGATCGTGAAATCACAATCTTAGTTCACAGCCATAGAAAATATGAAAATTTCGTTCAATACCTATCTTTAGGTCCATGAATTACTTTAATACTCCTTTACAATTTTTACATTATACTATAAAATGGTTTTTTTTAATCTGAAAAAAGACAAATATAGTCTTGAAGACTACTTGGCACTTCTATGTGTCTGAATTTGAATGGTTACTATTATTATTTTACCCTGTGAAATACTATATGTTTGATTGCTTTGTAAACCAAGTCTAATTGAGATTCATTTGAAGACCGAAAAAGATACTGTACATGTTAACTGTAATTCTAAGGTTCTATTGAGATGTCTTATCTGACAGGTTTTCCTGATCTCCTCAATTTGATTATGAGGCCGACCATACAGTGATAATTATTTACCATTACATTATAAAGAATAGTATAATTAATTAAATGTATTTTTGTTCATTCTGAGGGCTTATTGGTGCATCTCCATTTTAACATTGTACAATATTCTGTATTGTAAAATGTAAAGTTGAGATATACAGTATTCAGTATGTATAGTTGTGAACAGATAGGGAATTTGTGTAATCATTTAATTCAATCATTTAATTAGCCCAACTCTTCAATTAGTTGAATTAGAACAAATGTTAATCATTGGTAACATTAAAGGAAAACTATAATACTTACAGAAAGAGGAGGTCTAGGAGCAAGCTCATAGCCAAACTTCCGAGCATAGTAATTAAAAAGATGAGGATCACTGAAAGAACTGTACTGGGGCAGAAAGTCCATTTGTCCAATTTTTTTATCGTACCCACTGAAACCTGCACTCATTGTTCGTTCTGGTGAAAGAAAGGCCACACAACTGAAGTGAATATGCTAGTAAATCAGAAACAGAGTAATATGGTAACTATCACACACCAGAACTACAAATCATCTTGGAAATCACATGCATTTTCTGCATGATAAAGGAGTGTCCCCTGAAAAATGCAATGGTCATTTTTCTAAAAGGACATCTCTGGTAAGGGTCAAGACAAAGCTCACCCCAGTATAGCATAGGACACAAGAAGGAATTAAGAACATAAACTATTCTCCCTTTGGATGGAACATCCTACACAGAATTCCCTGCAGGGCCTTGGAAAGTAGCCAATCAAATCTAGCCAGAATTAGGCTGGGAAGTGGGAGAAAACTAGAGAAAACCAACATGAATATGTGGGGGGCATGCATACTCCACACAAGACATACTGCATACTTAAAACCAAACTCAAACCTGGGAATCTGGAACTGTGAGGCAACAGTACTGCCATACACTGTAACTCATTTTCCAAATGTGTCCCTTTAATGAGTGGAAACTACTTTCTTCCTTATCTCATGAACAACCGCATGTCCAATCCACGAGGCTTAATCCAGCAAAACGGCAGTAATTCAGTACAAGTAGGATTGTGAAGAGACTTAAAAAGAATCTGCACGCTGTTAAATGATAGCTTTGCCCCACTGGTGGGTAGGTAGGTAGCAGCCGCAGGGCGTATTCTTACTACTCATTTCTGCTGCAGCATAAGCAGCAAATCACACTCACCAGCAAAAGGAGCCCTCCTGCTCAACAAGGACGGCTTTGGCCTGGGATTCAGGCTCACTCTAAACTTCCTATGGGGCTTCGACCAAGCTTCCATTTTCACCCGAGGATCATTCCAGCCTGGCTTCCCACTCGGCACTGAGACATCTCTGAAGTGGAAGCCTTAATGATATCAAGACAAGCAAATACAGCTTTGAACTCTGTCAGGTATTTAAAGCTTGGCAAGGCAGTTCTGAGTATATCCAATTCAAAACCGGTTTACAATGGCAACTTTCGAGATCGAAGAAGAATCTGACAGTTTTAAAGCAATATGCACTTGGAAGGTTCATTCTAAATAAAGAACTTTAGATTTAAGACATCTTCTCTTATTTGTATTTGTAGTGTCTGTTCTTTAGACTGTTCACTGCGGTGGACTCCACATCTGGATATACACTTCTGCCAGCACTTAGGTTTTATTGGAGTCTTGAATCAGCATGTGAAGATCACATTATTCTTTAACCTAAAATTGATTTAATTCTTCAACAGAGCGCAGCTGGAACGAAATCAAGAAGATCCCATGGCTCTCCAGGACCAGGATTGGAGTCTATGGCTTTATTTTTCCTGCATCAGTAACCTTTAACTGAAGAGTAAATACTGTGGATAAAGAGGAAATGCTGGGGATTCGCCCGATGGCAGAATGTGAAACTTTGAGGGTGGGTGGTGTTATCAATACTGAGAGAAAATAAGAATAGAACAAAAAAGTTCTAAACAGTTGTTAAGAGTCAAAAACATTTAAAGTAAAATAAAATGTCTTCTATTACTGTAGAAAGCAAAATCATTAGTAGATCTCTTTTGTCTATAATGTTGCGAGAAAAACTGTATTAGAATAACAATAAACCAATTCAAAGTTATACATCATTTAGCCATATGTGACTGTGTATTAACTATTAACTGGTATCAAGTGCTTTCTATTGCAAAGAAATATCTGAACAAAATGGTTATGTCAGTTAGATATCTGTATGTTGTTAATTATTCTTTGAGAAAGCATTTATTTTACATGTATAAGATGATATTTGCCTAACTGACTTTGAATAAGGCTGGAAATGTACTGTATTCTGCACAACATAGAAAAATGCTTCTGTTTGAAATTACTTTTTGTTTCCTATTTTTGTAGGGAATATTTTTCCAATTACAATTTCGGAAGCTGGATAATTATAAGTATCAAGAACGACACAGGGGTATAGTTAAAAAAAAGGAAAAAAAATGTAATGTTTGGTAATAACAAAGTTTACCTGGAGGAAGAAAGATGTTGAGAAAATTTTGCACAGGAGAAAAAAAGGCTTTTGCAGTTACCATGTTAAAAGCACACATATTTTCAAAACATTTCTTTTACTTTTTCACTCTTGAATGATTCTTCATATTTTATGTATACAGTAGCACAAAACCTCGATGCTTCATGGTACTAAAACCATCTCACAAAGTTCTCATCTATTTTAAACCTAATGACTTTCACCATAGCAACATGCAATTTCTGTGAAACAGTCATTCCATCCAGAATAGTAAATGCTGCTGTAATATCACAGAATTATTGTGCGTTAAGGGATAAAAGCATTGAGATACAATGTGAAGATAGAGGAAGTATAAATTTGTATGAATAATGTGAGTGTTTTTATGATCAATTTTAGAATCCAGGATTGTTATCCAACTGCATTACATCTTCCTGCAGAATCCTGCTCACCAATCTTTGGCTGATAACTAAGGCCATCAGGGATCAAACATATAGAGAAAAATCAATATGAAGGGTCATTTTTGTCATTAATAGTGCAGTGTGTAGTAGAAATCGTGTTACTGAAGCAGTCAAAGTCATTTGTTCACAACATAGTAGCACAAACTAAAATGCTGTACATAGATGGTTGACCCACCATTGGAGATCATCCTTATATAACAGTGACTAATCAATAACATTCGTCTTTGAGTTTTTGTTTAGTCGTAAAGGTGTCAACTCATGTGGTTGGAGAATGACTGAAGTATAATACAAATTTATTTAATACAAAATCTTATGTGTAAACTGTACAAATGGTACAGTATAAAAAGTGATGGACAAGTGTGTTGGGCAGTTAACAAAAGTCTGGGCAACTGAGGACATTCTGGCCAGGACTGATGGATGGGTACACGAAGACCATGCAACAGTAGACTATATAGACAAGAAGCAAGTAATAGGTTTATTCCATGCTGAAAAGAGAAGAAAGAAAAAACAATGTTTCGGCCGTAAAGACTCCACTGCCAAAACATTGTTTCTTCTTTCTTCTCCTTTCAGCATGGGATAAACTTATTACTTGTTCCTTTGCAGCCTACACATGCTGACACAGCTACCCACCTGAACTATATAGACAAGATACCTGCTCTCACAAGATGATGAGAATATTCTGGGACTTGAAACTTGAAAGGTGTGATAGCGCATGCCCACACACAGTGAGCACTTTAACATTGTGCATTTTAACATCTTGATTTTGATTTGTTACCCCACCCACATTCTACAGTACAGATTTTGCATCATCAGATTTTCATTTTTGGCCCCACGATGCTCAGAAAATCAGCTGTGATGATAATGAGGAGGTGCAGGCCTAGCTCGGGGCCCAAGCAACTTTCACCTAGCTTGTGAAGTGATAGAAGAAGGTAGTGTGAAGGTGTGCTAGGGGCACAGTTAAAAACATGAAGCATAGTTGGTGGATATTTTGAATGGTTTTACTTTTTGACCTTTTACAATGCCATCTTTGATTCTGAATAATTAACACAAGCTGAAGATGGCAATCAGCAGAAAATTACCATTTTTCTCCAGTCAAGAAAATAAATATATTGTTAAAAATAACATATTTTAATTATCTATTGTAGTGACAGGAGATTAAGTATTGACAAAGTTGCATTTATATTTCTGCTGATAGCAATGCTGGTTTAACATGAAGAATAGTGTAATAAACACAGTACTAAATACAGCATTGTGTAATGTAGGTTCACATCTGTCAGCACGTTTTGTGAAGTCAACTTTGTAGAATACACGTTATAAAAATAAATTTGTTAAAACATACAAGCGATAAAGATATCATGAGAAATTTCAGCAGCCAGCCAATGTTACTTACTAACCTGTTGCAGGGCCAATGCGTGGCACAGATAACTGAGAATTCTGATGGTGAAGAATTCCACTCATTAACTGGGAGTTATGGTGGTTACACTGTGTCAGCATTTTAAACTTCTATAAAACAGAAAAAAAGACATTATTATACCAAGGCACTGCTGAAAATGCATAATCCATACACATTACTTTATATTTGCAGAGTAGTGCCCTGTTCTGTGTGGCATGGTTGTACTATGGTTCAGTTCCCTGGGTGCTATCCTGGTGTGGTGTTTGTATGTTCTCCCTGTGTTCATATGGAGTGTGGGGTGTTCCAATTTTCTCCTACAGTCCAAAAACCTTACCGGTAGTTTAAATGCCCTCTAGGAAAAATTACCCTACATGTGAGTGTGTGAGAATGACATGGGGCATTAAAATCATGTACACCCTGTGTAAGCCTTCAGTCCTGAAAGTATTGCCATTAGCTTGGATACAGCATTCAAATGGCATAACACAGGCTACAGCTGCCAAATCCTGGTCCAGGAACTCTGAGTTTCTAGGGCCTTTCTTGTATTTTGAGCAATGAAGCAAGTGATTTGGTCGATTAAGCAGTTTAGATATGCTTCGAAATGAAAATAGCAGCACACTGTAATGCTTAAGACCCACAGTTGGCTATTCTTGACTTAATTAGACTAATTTATAAATTGATCAAAGCTCACATATGTTCCAAATTATGATTTAAAGCATGGCATTTAAGACTTGCTTAAACAAAGCATTTGTGGCCGCCCCTGGCAAAGGTTGGCAGGGACATTGCACAGAGACCGCAGCCTTGCTCCTCTATCCACTTCTTTAAGGGGCAAAAATGAAGACACTGAAGCTGAAGATATTCTGTTTTTGTTTTTTGTTTTGATATTTCTGTTAATGTACTTTGCAAAGCTACCATGCTTCTAAAATATTGCAACACACTATGAAAACACTAGTTAATTTCATAGGTGATACTCTATCTTACTATAAGCTGCTATTCTCATATTTTCTCTCTAGCAATGTGGATTCTGAACACCCATGGCTTAAGCCCTTCTGCATCTAATCTGGTTTGTGTAAAGACATACAGTACATAGAACTGTGACTGAGTGACAATGAAAACGTAAAATGAACGACCCACTAAAAAACAACAAATGTATTTATCAGGCCAAATAATGAGGGCAGTGTAATCAGATTGTTGCCTATAGAGGCAAGGCATTTAGGGAGTTGACATTGCTTTAAGAATCTGATTGCTATTTAAAGTTATTTCAGTGGTAGCATGAGCAGCATTCTGGAAATGTTTACTGACAAAGCATTAAAGAATATTTTTGATTTTGTTGAGATCAGAGCTTACTATACCTAAGCAATCCTACAGAACATGAACACAATAGATCACAAACATCTAGCATCAAGAAAGAAGCAAAAGTCCAATGCACTTTCTTTTAAACACATGCAAACACCGAGAGGTAGAGGAAATGTTACTTTCCTGTTTTAATTATCTAGACAAATAACAATAAAATACAACAATGCAACAAATACAATGTGAGCATCATAATATATGGAGTGATTCGGTTGCGTAACAACGTGATCCCTTGATTATCAGCCTTTCATACTCAATAAATAGGTAAACGTCCCCTTTGCAGAATACCGTACAATACAAAAATTTACAATACTTCAAATGTTTTAAAGCTTTGGGATATAACAACAAAGGGCCTTGTCAACCATCAAGTGTAAATGAAGAGTGGGGACATAAAGTTAAGAGCAAAGAATGGAAGAGAGTAAACCAATAACCTTAGAGTATGGTATTGAATATGGTATTGAATGAAAGCAGAAGGATTTTAAAATCAACTTCAAATCTGAGAGGAAGCCAGTAAAAGGACTCCAAAGCAGGAATGAAGTGATCACTTGTGTACAAACTAGTCAGGATTCTAGGTACTAAATTCTGAACATACAGTACTGTATTGTGTCCTGTTAAGATTGTTCATTGCTGTATTGTGATATTGAAATTATTTGAAAAAGTATTATAACTATAAATACTATTACCCCTCATTCTATCTTTTGAGCAGTATGAAAGTGAAAAATGTACATTTGACACTTGAATGCCCAGCCTTGGTATTGACACTGTCATCAGAAAGTAACATCAGTAAATTTTTACATAACACTTACTTTTCTGAAATACCCCATTCTCAACAAACAGATTTCAAAACCTTATATTTGGGAACTGAATGTAACTCTGTAAGACATATGTTTCCACAAATCCATTAAAAAACTGCAGAATTATGAACATGAAGTAGAAGTTGCAAAAATGAAACTAAATTAAAGTCACTCCCAAACACTCCCAAAAGGTTGTGGAAATCAAGAACAAGCAATAGTATGCAGCCATGTTGCTTAAGCCAAGAATAAGGCTTCTTTCAAGAAACTGCTGGATGACAATTCACAACCAAGTGGGCTAGATGGGCCATACTGTATGTTCCACTCTGGTTTGTAGCCTTTCTAATGTTTTGATGTTCACCCTTCTCCCTCAAATTCACTGTCCTAGGGCTCCCTAGTAACTCAACCAGTAAATAAATGTTCAACTTCAAAACAAGTTGATAACTAAGACTCACATATCCTCAGATCGTGTCTGGGTCTGGTTTAATGTAACTGGGTGTCTCTGACCAGGAGTTCCAAAAGTTCAACTGCTTTAGTAACACTGCTAGGGGTAAGGCTAGGAGCTCTGCTCAAAGTAAATCAGCCTTCCATGTGACTTCCCAGGAGCCTCAGTGATCAGGCTCTCAATCTCTCAGTGATGTCAGTAAGGGATCAGCCTCTCCTCTTGCACTGAATCACCTGTACATCACTGTGGAGCTTGACAATGTGTCAAAAGACAGAAGGCTGAAGCCATTAGGTAAAGATACAATTAGTGGTTTCAAATTGAGAAGCAACAGAATTTACATTGTTGATTTTTATTTTATTTAAAAGGCTAAAAAAATCATCATAGTCCTTACAAAGCCTTTCATGTTCTACTTATGGGACAGATAAATGTCAGGATCCCTCTTTTTGTGATAACAAAAGTGCTTATGAATGCTCTTTAAACATGTACATCAGTACTGGACACGTTGGCATACAGTATTCCTTGCAATTAATCTGACGTGATTCCTGCAAAACTAAGGAGTGAAAAGTCTACTGGAAAATAACCAGTTTGCTAGTGTGTCAGAAGTTTTGATTGTCAAGGTTTACTGTAGCTAAATGGCTACAATACATATCAAGGCACTAGCCACTGTGGATAATAATCCATATGGGACAATGATTATATTACACAAGGAAAAATGGCAGCAGCACAGAGACTGCTGCTAAACACCCAGACCACTGCTGATGTTCTGAGCATGTAAATTGTCCAGAAATCATGAAGAACAATGTGATTATTATACTGTATGTTTTTTGTAAGTTAGATTTAAACTGAATTAAAAATCTCTTCTGTAAACAAAATCTGTTTGTTAATGAAAAGATTCTGAAGTCTTGATAATTAAACGCCTACAAAATAAACCAAAAAAAAAAGTAATCATACTGTATGCACTGCCACAACAAATACAGACACGATGAACAACACTCAGATATAAAATTTAACAGAGAAATCATATTATGGAATCTATTGGGGTTTTTTTTTCTGTATCTAACCACGTGTGTCATGGGCAGACGCTTTATATTTTACAGAACTTTTAATTCTCCCCAGTTTTCCAGTTTAAGATACTGCACCAAATCAAATGATTCAAGTGCTATCTACAGTACACGTGTAATTGAAACCTTATTGCGATTCGTTCTGTCTTCTGGAACATTGAAGTAAATACTAAATAATTATCCAACATCTTACGACTTACCTAAAATAATTATTCCACTGTTGTAGATATTATTTCCCTAGATAGCAAAGGAATTGGTTATTTATCCATTTAAAAGGTCATCTAAATTAGAAGCCGAAGATTGCCGGTCTGTAATGTTTGTATTCCACGCCTGCGGTTGTTCAGGACGCTTTCTGTTTCTATGTGAGCTGGGCGTGGAAGCTTTATGATATTATTAGTTTAACAATGAGATTTAAATATAGGTCGGATTCACAGAAACCTGCTGTAGTCATAGAGCCGTATTATTTGTGAAATGTAATCTTTGTTATTATTTTGTTTCTCTCCCTTCGATTTCTCATTTCGTATACTATCTACTGTACTGTATACAGTATAAAGTAAATTATAAGCGACATGAAATCAAAAGTGCTGTATTTAGATGTATTATCAAAACCTAATTCCTGGTGGATAAGGGTTGCAACAAACGGCTGGACTACAGTATATCAAGCATGATATGAAGTCTCCCTCAATGCACACATACACAATTCAGAGGCACCCACAAAATTTACACGTCTTATGGAAGAGGGAGGGAAAGGAGAGCAATTGAGGTAAGCACGGGTGAGCACGAGAATTTTCACACGGATTCTATCCTGGTACAAATACTTAACCAAGGAGTAGAGAGTGATGAGCGATCAACGCACCCGAGCTACTTTATTAAAAGTAAAAAACGAAAAAAGACCTTAAAAGAAAACTAATATTTACGTTTACAGCATAAAGGTTTCCAGATTAGTTGATTAGCCTTCTCCAAAAATACTTGTCTGCTATTTTTCTGCTTGTTAAACGGACAAAACCTGGCACTTGTATAGAACATTGCACTGACCGGTTACAAAGTAGAGAGTTAAATGTTCTATTATCTCTAGTATTTTATCGGATGCTTAGATAAACTGAATAACAGATACCGTGTAAAGAAAAACAACTGTATTTACCAGTATCAACAGATAAAAAACAAACAAACATGGTTTTGGATCTTAGGTGAAGCACAAAGTACAGTATTTTAAAATAATTCTGGTTCAGTAATTTTCTTCTTTTACATTTCTTCAGGAATAAGTGGTGCTTTTGTGATCAGTTGTAAGCTACACACCCTAACATTTAAACGTTCAATAACAATCACGAAATATATCAGGAGATTCTACTTGTGATGCTGTACAGATAACGTACTGTACATCAACCCTAGTCTACAGTATATTTATAGAATATGATAATGTCTTGTCATCTTTAGATAAAAAGAACAGAAGTACCTCACAACCCAAAATTACTTCAGGGTATTCAGAATGTCTGTTTTAGATTGCATTATGAAGTCGGAGTTCAATTGCCATAGTCGTGCATGTTTCTGCGACAATCGCAGCTTTACTCTTGTATGGTGGACTTTCGATCACGGTTGCTTCTGGGTTCACTTCTGTAAAACCCCACTCCTGAGACACTCACGAAGGCTACCGCACCAACATTTCTGCAGGAGGTCTACGATGTGTAGCAAAGGGGGATGATGACATTTCTGTTACGCGGTCTGAGCCCTCTACACATTAAAAGCTTTGAGGGTAATAAAATGAGCGAGGTTCACATTCGGAGAAATACTAAGCACAAATGACTAATCTATCCTTTAAACAGTTTCCCACTCTGTTCATTTTGTTAATCCCTGTTCCTGAAGATACACTGCAACCATTCAATTATTTCCAGTCATCATTTGCTTTGATTAGCTTCAAGAAAAAAAAAAGAACTGAATTCACTTTGAGGACATAGCTCATGGAATTAATTCGCTGCATAGATGACAATTCGAGTGTAATGGGAAATTAGGATTTTTCCATCCATGATCATAACTACACTTATTACTGATTAGTGTCACAGCAACCCATAGTCAATCCCAAAGCTAGAATCTTACGGTACCATCATCCAACCACCAGGGGGCGTCGAATCGACAGGCACCTACCTCAGCCAGGGAAGATTCAGACTACCTACAGTAGACCTCGTCAACCAATCTCAGCACCTCTTCACCACCACGCCTCCCCTTCCCAACCTACTTTAGCCAAGCTCTCTGTCCCTTCCCTGTTCCCTATTAGGTTTTATTGTGAGAGTTGTAGGCTTTGCTTCCCTTTTTGCCTTTGGATTCTAGCCTTGCTTTTGACCATGACTTTTGGAATCTCACTCAGGTTATTATTGCTTTAAGACGTCTTAGCTATTGACTTACTACTTCTTTTGAGTTTGTTTTTGGATATCCCCTGTTTAACTCTGTTTTCCTCCTCTGGAGTTCCCTGGATCTGCATAGGGTCCATTCCTTACTATTTCCCTAACATAGTTAGGAG